AACGTAATCTTTCAGTTTTAAGTCGGTTTGAACAATCCGGATAAGCGCAAGTAAGTACCATTTTGATTAGCCGTCGTACCTACAATGACTGTGCACTGTGTAAACAATGAGTGACGTATACGCGCGAGAGATCACTTCCGGCGCTTGCGTAAACTACGCCAGAGCGCGTACACACCTCACGCACCGGATGCCGTGCGCACGCTCAAAGACAGTTGGACATAGTGGTGTATTAGAGGTAAAAAATGATATAAATACTGTTCGGTTTCTGGCACAAACCGATTGTTTCGTGTCTTAGGACATCAATGTGTCGTCACTAGCCGCAGGGCTTAATTTGGATTTGTCTGTGCATGTTTTTTTTACTCTCATAGATTTTGTTACCATTGCCATGCATTATACGACTGCTAGACTGCAACGGCTGGAGGTGAGAATCATAATTTGTGTTCTACTGAAGAAACAAAGTCACCTACATCTTGGATGCCCTGGGGGTAAGCAGATAAACATCACATTTTCATTTTTGGGTGAACTATCCCTTTAAGCACTGGCACAGTGCAACCGCTCAAAACGTTCTTTATATTCTGAAATTGGATATATTGTGCAGCACTAGTGGGAGTGATTATGTAACAATGCAGGGGAAGAGACCAGAGGTACGTGCTTGGTTATGTCTGTACCACCTTCCAGATGGCAGGAGGGGAGCAGACTCAGAGCTCTGGTCCAGCACAATGTTGTTAACCTCCCTGAAAATATATTGGTAGTTTATGTAAACCTTAATTGTCAAAGTGGTTGTTTTCTATACTCACAGAAACAGAATTCTGAATTTGCATTATTTATTTATGATATTTACAAGATTGCATTATAAATTAGATTAGAATTAGATATGCATTTATCTATCATCATACATCTGAATGCACCGGATCATAAGCCGCCAACGTATACACCAACTGAACACAGTGCCACACTTCCCTCTGAAAAACGCAGTGCATCAGTTATCGGTAACACTTTATTTTAGGGGCCAATTCACTATTTGCTTATTAGCTAGCTAGCATGCATTCTGGTTGTTAATTAGTACACTGTAAAAAAACAAAACAAATACAGTAACTCACTGTAAAAAAAATTCAGTTGCAAGCAAGCCTGTAAATTAACAAGAGTACCGTAAACCACCAATTTCAATTGTACTGTAAAAACAGTTTACAGTAAGTGACTAATAATACCATGCGCCGAGTTAACTCATTTAATTTGAGGAAACTGATTGCCTTAAATTTCCTCATGAAGAATGCATGGACTTCACAGGCACATGTGCGATTTGGGACAAGACCACGTTCTTGAAATGCAATGTTTTTATGCAAATAATCTCCAAAACCTGTACAGAAATGGAATTCGCTCTACCATGTGTACACAGATGGTGGAACGACAACTCAGATTTCTGAACCCAGTATATTGCTAAGTTTACTAAATCATGTTACTCACCTTGGTAATGGCTTCCTTGGCTCCTTTGTTGATGAGCTGAACCACATGATCAGCTTGGCCCTTGTGCGAGGCTATGAGGAGACGCTCAGAGAGGGCTCGCACAGATGATGCATCCTGCTGGCTCATGAATTAGGGAAAGACTTGGGGAGGGGGGAATTACTGGGATCAGAAACAGGAATGAGCCCCTCTGCCTTGGGATGCGAGGAGAGAGGAACCATAGATGTCCAGCTCTTGGAGGGATCTAACCCTCATGTTGTTTGGAGAAGCCTGTGGGGAAACAGGAAAGGGCACAACTGTCATAACAGCAGCCATAGTTTTCCAGAGTAAAGCGGATGTGACTATAGACAATGTGACACTGAAGAGAGGGAGGTTTGTGCGGTTGTCAGCGCTACATCAGCTGATTTGTCATTAATAATAAAGAGTCCAATGAATTTTTTAAAAATCACCTGTGCCAACTCAGACCTACTCTGAGAATATAATAACTTATCCTTAATATAATTACGTCTACATAAATACATAACTTTGCATTAATGCTTAACTGTCAATGCCTCTGCCCATGAAATTTCTTGCAACTTTCTCTTGATGTACACAGCATATGACCAAAAAAAGACCAAAGGTGAGCTTATGACAAAAGTTTAAACTTGACAGAAGTAGAACTGTTAGAAAACACACATTTAATGATCTTATTCCTTAAAATGCATTGCGTTTTGCATCAAAGCACAGCACCACATGTAGAGACAAGAGGCTGATGACAGACACAAACAGTGGAAATGCAAATTCAGTTATGCTCTCACTCTTAAATCCAACCAGCAACCAAAAAAAAAAAAGTCTAACCCCCAAACCATGTGAGGCACTATGAGAGTGACGTCACATCTGTGAATCGTGAACCATTGGATCATAAAAATGAAGCAGGCTGAACATAGTCATGTACTAGAGGTATTTATTTTGAAACCAAAAAACATTTATTCTGTAAGCAAACCTGATTAAATAAGCGCTTTGAAATGTGCAAAGCTACAGCACTAACCAGTCTAAGCCCCCAGAACGTCAAAGTCAGTTTCAGACATGTAGCATTTATGATGATGACCACTGAAAGAGCCGCAGATGCACTACGGTAGTAATTCAGAGGACAGCTGACATGTGCATGTGTAGGCATATCCCCTCCAGCCTCCCTATGTGTCTTTGAAGGATTCTCCGGATTCTCTCTTCTCATAGTCACACACATTAGTGAACTTTAAACTCTGGCCTCTTCACAACCGGAAGAGTCTCAGCTGTATCATAGCTTCCCCAAAACAATAGGGAAAAACATTCCCACCTTTTCAGGAGAATGAAGGACAAAAATTGTGTAAGGCTTGAAATAACAAAGATATTGTACATTTTGGAATGAGCTCTAAAGGGCCGTATGTGTGACTGCCAAAACTGCTGAAATAATTTACTGTGCTTGTCAGACAAAACCATAAAACGACTTGTTCCTTCCTAACTTTTAAGGACTTGCATTTTAAAACACACACACACGCACACTTACACACGCACTCTCACACACACACACACACACACACGCACACAGTCTATAACTTGTATTATTATATGACATCATCAGATAACTGTTAAGTTAAAGGGGTCATATGATGCTTTTTTAAAGATCATTATTTGGTGTAACAGAATATGTTGACATGCTTTAATGTTTAAAAAACACATTATTTTTCAAATACTGTACATTATTGTAGGTCCTCTATGCCCCGCCTCTCTCAAACGCTTAGTTTTCTACAAAGTCCCTCCTTCCGACAAGCGCGGTCTGCTCTGATTGGCCAGCTGACCCAGTGCATTGTGATTGGCCGAACACCGCAAGCACTCGTCGGAAATGTAACGCCCCTTACCATAATCGCGAGCTTCATCTTTCAAAATAAATGTAAAGACAGTTAATAATGTCATTAGTTTTACCATCAGTTCAAGCCCGAAAGGGCGCGCATACACACACACACACACACACGATGCGCAAAACTCTGCATTTGTTACCATCAGTTCAAGCCCGATAGGGCGCGCATACACACACACACACATACACACACACACACGATGCACAAAACTCCGCATTTGAACAGTCAATACCAAATACTTAAAATAATAACAAAACAGTAGCTGATTCAGAAGCACCAGATTGTCATAGCGTGTTTCCCCTAGGTTTACGGCTTTTGGGGGGGGCTTGTTGTTTCTTTTGTTGAAAAAAAAAATCTGTTTTTTTTACTGGTTAAATTACATTTTATTAATCAAAAAGCATGTCTAATTAATTAAAATCATGAAACTTAAACAATTTAACATCAATTTATTAAAAGTTTAACAAATATTACGTTTAGGGCCCTATGAAATGTTTTATTTGTCCAACCTTATGTTTTATTGCAACCAAATTCTGATTTAGCATGTCTAATTTGAAAGCATAAAACAAGTTTAATTTATTCTTACAATAGCCTTATGATTTTTTTTGCTCAGAAATTCTGTGTTGTGTATTTACATTTTGTTTTAAGGCATAAAACATTCATTTAATCTATCTTTTAAGTAATGAAAATTAAACAAATTGTATTTTTTGGAAAATAAAGGTCATTTAATATTACAATTAAAACATTGAAGATATATTGAATGCTTATTCCTTAAAAATAAGGTTTTAATAATTTTAGTAGTAGTAGTAGCAGTCTGTTACGTACATTCTGCTGAACAACAGTAATATATTTCTGCCACAATGCCTTCAAGTTAAACCGAACTTTTATTTTGACGGGTTGCCGTGAATACCTTTACATTTCTGTGTGTGTATGATATGAGGATAGTTTTACTCAAATGAAACGGTCAAATGCTCATGAAGTGACTCTCAGAGCAGTTCTGGAGATGTTATTCATGAGTTATGTTGAGAAAGGTTCAGGGCATAAAAGTGCACTTATGAAATGTAATTTTCATGACATCATTTTCTGGTGTGTAACAATCAAACAATCACATTTATTTTGTGTATAATCTGTCTCAGATAAATGTGCCCATTAATAGCTTGTAAAAATTAAACTGTGACTGAATATCATGTCAGACAGTCTCTAAATGGGTGGTTCTTGGCAAACAAGCTCCAATGAAGACCAGAACTTTTGCTGTTGAGTTCAGCTTTTCAGCAGCAGTGGCCTGATTAAGTCGAGTTACATCAATAATGAAAAGCCAGCTGGACATCGCTATACTGCAAACGCCATAAGTCATAATAAGAAAAATTAGGAAGTAGTTGTGCTACTTAAACCAAGTGTTTAATTTAAGGGCCCCGTTGGTCAGGCCAAGGAGTGCTTTTGTAAAAATATATAGAAAAGTGAAGGGACTGCTATACTAGACATCTTTTCCTAAGAGGACTTGATTATTTCCCTCTTTGAAACCTTATACCTGTGATGGTTAGTCATAATCCTTTCTCCTTGTGGCGACGTACAGCAAGAGTCTCATTTTTCAGCTCTATTCAAAGGATTGGAGGTGGAACTCTGCTAAATGTTCTTGCCAGAAAATGTCTGGAGCAACCGCTCAGAGGCATACAGCAGATCTATTAAATGATACTGAGTTTCATCCAAAATAAGGGGTGGTTCTCAGCAAACCTGTCAAGATAATGTCAAACTCAAATTTCATTTTGACATTATTTTTGTGACAAGTACAGTCCGTCCTCATTTAAAGTTAAAAAATTATTCATTTTATTTAGGCAACACATTTACAACATAATTTATATCATGTAATATACACTATCTATCTATCCATCCATCCATCCATCCATCCATCCATCTATCCATATATCTATCCATCCATCTATCCATATATCTATCCATCCATATCTATCCATCCATCCATATCTATTCATCCATCCAGTGGGCTTACTTTGTTTGTTTGTGTGTGTGTGTGTGTGTGTGTGAGCGCGCGCATCGGGCGGAACTCCGCTGTGCGTGATACAGAGAGCGCGACCATAACATAGAGACTGAAATGACATGCCGTCGTGTAAATAAGATAAATAACAAGGCTAAATTTAGTTTGCTTAATGAAAGAACAAGGTATAGACATGTTCTATAAGAAAGGTAACTTTAAATGACTTCTGTTGTGATCTGGTGCTATAGAGAAAATATAATTAAATAAAATTAACTTGACCTTCAAGTGGGGCGGGGGGGTGCCGTTGTGGGGGGGCGGGGCGTCCCCCTAAAATAATGGCAGGGGAAACACTGGACATGACTGCATCAACACTAACTGCAGTTACTGAAACCACGCCTTCTTTCTTTGTGTGAACATTTGGGCGGCATTAAGCAAATATTTCCACATAGTGAGGTAGACATGTGGGGGCGTGTTAGAACGAGGCGTTTTAGGGGGGCGTGGCAGAGTCTTAACTTTTATAAAGAATATCTCTTTGGTTTTGAGACTTTAGTCTTTGCAACTTCAGGGATCTTATCTATGCACAATCAGCTTGTAACACTCCAAAGAGAAAGGAAAACTTGAAATCGCATCATATGACCCCTTTAACTTATTAACATTTATAGTATATAAGTTTGTTTGACTTGATTTGTTCTATGTAGACATGTGACTCTGTCCCAGGGTTCGTCTGTCCTGCAGAGTTTAGCTCAAACCCTGACCAAACTCTCTCAACGTATCTCTGAAGACTTGATGAACTTTCTTAGCTGTCTTTGATTAGCATGATCTGTAGTTTTAACAAATGCCTTGACGCTGACAAATGTCGCATTTTGTCAAATAAGTGAGAATCTGGATGCAGGAGAAAGAGTACACACACTGTAAAACATTGCCAGGAATTTACAGGATTAAAGAGTACTATTTTACAATAAATGACTGTAGTCAAAAATGTACTGTGAAATCAATGCATGCTGGGTCATTTTCTTACAAAAGACTGTGAATGAACAGAAGAATGAAGCTAACATCACAGTAATTTACTGCTCTTGTTTTACTGTGAATTCACATTATAGTGAATGTCTTTAACTGTGCCACTGAGAGAAATGTGTTTGTTTAATGACGTAATTGTTTTGAAGTCACCATGATGGTGATTCGTGTTTGTTTGGGATCTTGGACCTTGTGTATTCATATATTCAAATTTCTGATCTAGTCAGGTCTAGATTAACTAATCATTGATTTCATATTCATATCTGTTGTGGATGGATCTTTCACAATAGAGAAGTAATACTCGACATACAAAACACAACAATGGTAACATTCAACAAATAAAAACAACACAACATAAACCAACAACACACAGACTGCTAAAATTTAACCAAAAATAAGTATAATAGCACAAATAAAACCAACAAGAATTAAAACACAGTATGCTGCTTGTTTACAAAAAATTTCTGAGCGCGTAGTGAGATACAAGAGAAGTCCC